ATAGGACAGAAAATTAGGTAGGCGGAGTAGACAGAAGAGAATGCTGGGAAAAAGAAGCTGAGTGAAGGAGTCGACATGGTTCTCCCACTCCAGACAGACACAGGTTAAGATCCTCCCTGGTAAGCCAGCTCGTGGGCTACACAGAATATTAGAAATGGGTTAGAACAATATGTAAGAGCTATCCAATAAGAATCTGGAACTAGCCGGGCCAGGCAGTGTTTGAAAGAATACAGTTTCCGTGTAATTATTTCGGGCATAAGCTAGCCATGCGGGCGGCCGGGTGCCAGGGACGCAGCCCTGCCACTCCTATTTCAACACTTCTCCCTTGGCTTCCCAAGTGCCAGGACTACACACAAGCACTACCACACCCAGCTCAAAACATTATTTTAAGATTTGCCACTCTCCTGAATAATTTTTATTATGCATAAAGGTTAGAAATTGCCCTGAATTACTGCAGAATGGTACCTGATCTAAAGAACCATTGTGTAGGGGCTGGAGAGATGGCTCAGAGGTTAAGAGCACTGACTGCTCTTCCAGAGGTCCTGAGTTCAATTCCCAGGTCACAGCCATCTATATATAATGAGATCTGGTGCCCTCTTCTGGCATGCAAGCATACAGAGAAGGAATGTTGTATACATAATAAATAAATAAAATCTTTAAAAAAAAAGAACCATTATGTAGCTTTACTATATATTGAAAAATTTCCCCCAAACTGTGTTATATGAAGCCATTCAAAAGACAAGATTGTAAATATTCAGAGGTTGCTGGTATTGAGCATCTACCGATGGGTGACATATCCAGCCCAAAATTGTAATGACCACAGCCCATAAGTATCAATACATTTTATATCAATAATTATAGTATATCATAACTAAGGCTGTTGGTACGGTACAGACCTGTAATTCAAGCTACCTAGGAGACTGAGGCAGGAGGATCACAAGTTCAAGGTCAAACTGGACAGCTAAGCAAGATCCTGCCTTGGAGAGAGGCACTAATGGAACACTTGCCTAATATGCACAAGGCCCCTAACAACACACACACACAAGCACACCCACAAACACACATGCATTGTAATACAATTAAAATAAAAATTAATAGATTAGTCCTGAGGGACAGTGGAGGCACACAGTCATGTTTTTTCTTCAGAGAAAGAACAAACACATGCACACATATATGTATCTGTGTGCATATATATGTGTGTGTCATGTATGGCTGTCAGGTGAAAAACATGGCACCCGCTGCAACACCCTTGTTGACTTCTTCCTATGGGTTTTACTCCATAGCAGCCTCTCACCTGCTCCTGTGGAGGGGCCTTGTTCATCTGGTCATGTTCATCAATTCTAACCGTGAGTGCCCGTGAGTGGCGATCAGAACAGGGTGAGTCTGCCATATTCTGCTCTGGAGACGCAACACTTTTTCCAGTCTGATGGCACCAAAGTCTGTACAGGGAACTCCCCGTTAGCACCAGGATATCATGTCAGTGGCTAGGGGGCCACAGGGGAGTGTCTCTGGGAGACAACTGGCTTGGTAACACCTTGGTTCTCCTGTGTCAACTGCAGTTACAGGAGTCTTTTTTGTTTTTGAGACAGGGTCTCATGTAGCCTAGGCTAGTCTCAGACTTGCTCTGTAGCCAAGGATGTCACTGATCCTCCTGCCTCTACCTCTTGAGTGCTGGGATTATAAGCAAGTGCCACTGCATCCAGTTTTGCTGTCCTGGGGATCAATCCAGGGCTTCGCCCACACTAGGCAAGCAATCTACTAACTGAGCTACCCACTCCGCTGCATGACAGATTCTGAAAATGTCTCGCTGCCTTGCCCGATACAACCGACAGCTCTCCTGCACTGCAGCATCATTTTCCAACGCCCCTGGGGCTCACCTTTCTTCTGTGGCTCTGACTATACACTGCTGGCAAAGGTGCTGCCCCCACCGACAGCACTGCCAAAGATGGCTAAGATTTCACTCAGTGCCCAGGCAGCTTAGATACTGCCCTTCTTCCTCTTCTGTTTTTTTTTTTTTCCATCCTGCTGATAGGCAGAACCTCAGAGGCACTTGGAGAAGCCGGGTGTGTGGGCTGCACTCTGTATCGACCTTCCAGAGAGGGAACCCCAAAGGCTGGCCCTGTGTGAGCCACCAGAGGATACCCAGGACCTCCTAGGCCAACCATGCTTATAGGACACAGGCCAGAGACTTCCATATGAATCCCAAGGCAATTCCCCAGCAGCTTCCTGCTTTAATTGGTCCTCTCAGGCAAATTTGGCCAGTTGTAGATCGATCTGTGGTGTCTCCTCCCAGGCATGCTGCTTTGGCTTTTGAGAGTTCCCAGGCCGCTGAGGTGTTCTGTGAACACATATACTGTTGTGCTTGGAACTGTGTGGTGAGTCACAGCCCTCATACAGTCTTTCACACATGACACAAATTTCTAAGAGTCTGAGAACATCAAGAAGTAGATTTATTAGGTTACTGGTGTTTCTCAATTCATCTGAGAAATTTTACTTTAAATCCATGAGGAAAATGTGCTAAATCCTGAAGTCCCTTTATTTAAAAAAAATATTTTTTATGTGTATGTGTGTAAAACTACATTGGTTCCGTTCCATGCGTTTCTTGCTATGTGCTACGGGAACTAGGCTTAAAAGTTAAGACACACACACACACACACACACACAGAGAGAGAGAGAGAGAGAGAGAGAGAGAGAGAGAGAGAGAGAGAGACAGACAGACAGACAGACAGACAGACAGACAGACAGATGGAGCCATGGGGGGCATCCTTGAGACAAGAATGCCCACTTTATTGTGCTCAGGGGCAGCTTATATAGGGCTCTGGCCACACCCTCACTCTCGGGATCTTTCAGCTGCAGACTCATCAGAACCCACTCCCCTGCTGTCAGGGTCTCGTGCTCAGAGCAGCTGCAGGCTACTTAGAGCAGAAGAAAACAAGCTGTTTGCAAGAAATTCAGGGTCTGTTGGTCCGCAGTCCCCAACATGTGTGCATGTGTGTTAATATGTGCACATGAATGAAGGTGCCCAAACAGTCCAGAAGAGTGCATCAGATCCCTGTGTCTAGAGTTAAAGGCAGTTGTGAGCTGCCTGATGGGGATACTTGGAACTAAACCCGTCTTTTACCAGAGACACAAATGTTCTTAACCACTGAGTCATCTCTCCAGCTCCCTTTAACACCTCCATGTGAGTGGTCATCCTAGCATGCCAAATACTGAATAACATCAGGAATGTATATTAAAAAACAAACTTCTTTAAAGCCAGGCATGGTGTTGCATGTCTGTAGTCAAAACTAAGAAAACTAAGGAAAATCACTTGAGCCTTGGTGTTCAAGACCAGCCTGGGCAACATGATAAGATTCTGTCTTACCGAAAAGTAAAGAGAGGGTTCTTGTTTGTTTTTGTTTTACAAGACAGGGTTTCTCTGTCTAACAGCTCTGGCTGTCCTGGAACTCACTCTGTAAACCAGGTTGGCCTCAAATTCACAGAGATCCACCTGCGTCTGCCTCCCAAGTGCTGGGATTAAAAGTGTGGGCCACTACTGCCTTTAATTTTAAAGGGCATTTTTCTTAAATTTTATTTATTTATTATGTATACAATATTCTGTCTGTCTGTATGCCTGCAGGCCAGAAGAGGGCACCAGATTTCATTACAGATGGTTGTGAGTTACCATGTGGTTGCTGAGAATTGAACTCAGGACCTCTGGAAGAGCAGTCACTGTTCTTAACCTCTGAGCCATCTCTCTCCAGCCCTAAAGGGCATTTTAAAAAAAAATCACATTTACTTTAGGTTTTAAATATCCAGATTTCTAGATGCAGTGGAGATAAATATTGGGGCTGATCTTTTGGTTTTGGTTTTGTTTGTTTGCTTATTTTTCAAGGCACAGTCTGTATAGCCCTGGCTGTCCTGGAATTTGCTCTGAAGATCAGGCTGGCCTCGAATTCACAGAGATTTGCTGTAACATGGGGGGGCGGGCTTGTCAGGGTTTCTGCCCTGCCCAGTTCCTGCAGTCATTAAGCCCCAAAGAAACCATACAGAGAGTCTGCATCAGTTATAAACTGATTGGCCCATTAGCTCAGGCTTCTTGTTAACTCTTGTAACTTACATTAACCCATCGTTCTTATCTATGTTAGCCACGTGGCTCAGTACCTTTTTTAGCGGGGTAGGTCACATCCTGCTTCTTTGGTGGTCTGGGCAAGACTGGAGCTTCCTCCTTCCTAGAATTTTCCTGTTCTCTTCGCCCTGCCTCTACTTCCTGTCTGGTTGACCCGCCTATACTTCCTGCCTGGCCAATCAGCGTTTATTTAAAACATGATTGACAGAATACAGACAATTTTCCCGCACCAACTTGCCTGCCTCTGCCTCCCAAGTGCTTGGATTAAAGGCATGCACCACCTCCTGAAGTAAATCTTAAATATGTTAATAGAAAATAGAATTGTATTTATTTTGACAAGATATTGGATTATGTTCATAGATTATGTGATGAAATGTAATTTTTTTAGATGACTTTGGAAGAAAGGGCCTGTGGACTGACCCTCTGCATCTGGGTTTTTAGAGGTGCTCAATATGATTAGCACTGTGGGCATCAGAGAGCTCCCCAGCCTCCACTCACATAAGTTCAGAGAAGCACTTTAGAAGCAACCATGGCAAGGCTCTGCTTAGGGCAGACGGCAAGTGTGAGACCCCCCCCCCCCGCCCCGGCCAGGGAAAAGACCTATTTCAAACCCCCAGCTTCCTTATCTGCAAAGTTCAAGCAATAATATTTGCTTCATTGAACTTTTGGGGATCACTAAAAAGCATAATGAAGTCAAGACATTGGGTACTTCTGGTTGCTGAATATCACACAGACCTCAGTTGCTGATAATTGACAGTCGTTTGACTACCAACTATAAAATCAACCCCTACAAGTCACCCAAGCAAATATCCTACGGAAGATCCAAATCACTGACCTCTAACGATTCTATCACAGGTCATCCCCAAATCCATGGCAAGGCACAGCCCTTGCATGTCTCTAATCCAAACTGGAGTGTCCTTCCAGAAAATCTGAGCCAGAGTGTGAAGAAGTGATGGTAATTCTGCAAGGACCATCTCCCTCCAGTCCCTAGTAACTGGTGACATTAGTCACTTTTCCATCACTAGAACAAAATACCTGTGATTGTTTACTTATTCATTTGTTTGCTTTTTTGGTTTTTTGAGACAGGGTTTCCTTGTGTATCTTTGGCTGTCCTGGAACTCACTTTGTAGATCAAGCTCGCCTCAAACTCACAAAGAGATTCACCTGCCTCTGCCTTTCCGAGTGTTGGGATTAAAGACGTGTGCCACCATGCCCAGCATGGGATTGATGACTTAAACACAGAAAGGGTTTAACTCACAGCTCTTTTGAGGAGGAGGTTCTTGTCCAAGATCAGGACACTTGTGGCTTTGGGCCTTTGGGGAGAGGACACAGGATGGCAATGACAGAAACCCACAGAGAGCAAACTGCTCAGGGCCGGGGAACGGGGGAGTAAGTTACCCTCCAAGGGTCTCCCACTTTACCCTGTTCCTCATCATACCACACTATAGGGCCCATGGCTTCATCTTGAATACAGTTTCTGGCCAGACATTTTGTTACATTTTTCTGGCTAAACATCCTGTTTATTCCTGTGCTTCCTCTGGCCCCATGGTGGTTAGCTATAGGGCCATTGTTTACTCCATCTTGGGCCGGGAAATTTCCCACCTGCCTGGGGGGAATTCCATTGTGTATCAGCTAGGTATATAAGGATTTTCCTAAGCTTAAATAAATGGCATTTGGCATTATCTCCTCACGAATGACCCAGTCTCTTGTGTGTTTTTTAATCTCCAGGCCCTTCCCCGGCTGGCTAACAGTACAGTAGTGCGTGAACTGTACTGTAGAGAATAAGGCAGGCATTGCAGTTGGAGACCCATCAACGAGATCAGGAAGTAGGGGACCCCTGAGAGATCACCCTCGGAGGCTGGCCAGCAGGTAAGAAACTGATGGTGAAGGTGAATTAAAAATGGGTGCTAGTAATTCAGTATTGATGGGCAATTGATAGTTCTTTTAAAGAAGCAAGGGCCAATTGATTGACGGGCCAATTAATAGTTCTTTTAGAGAAGGAAGGCAAGCAAGGCACTGGTAAAACTAAGATAGCACAAGAGCTCATTAAGACAGTTTTCTTTTGTGTAAGGTAGTTTATTACCTAATTTTTTGAGAGAGTTTAGTCCCTGGTTTCTACAAACAGGGGGCTTTAATTTCTGATTGGGAGCAGGTAAAAATTAAAAAAAAAAAAAAAACTAGAAAATTTGGCAAAAACCTTTGAGGAGACTCAGGTTGAAGAGTCTGTAAAGTCTATTAAGAGTTTTGAGGAGCGAGAAGTTAAGAGTACTAAAAGGGATATAGAAGAGGAAGAAAAAACTTTAGAAAGGGAGATTGTGCTGCTAAAAAAATAAGTTAGAGCCAGGCGGTGGTGGCGCACGCCTTTAATCCCAGCACTCGGGAGGCAGAGGCAGGCGGATCTCTGGGAGTTCGAGGCCAGCCTGGTCTACAAAAGAGCTAGTTCCAGGACAGGAACCAAAAAAGCTACAGAGAAACCCGGTCTCGAAAAACCAAAAAAAAAAAAAACAAAAAAAAAGTTAGAAAAAGAAGAAAGGCAGCTTTGCAGAGCCTGTCTTTCAGGAGGAGATTGTTTGTTGTGGAGAGGTGAAATGCTGGAGGATTGCACGACTTGGCAGGTTTTCCCCAGCATGACCTTGGCATGTTGACTGGTACAGGAAGGTGCCTGGGCTTAGCAGCACAGATTACATATGACCCTGCTGTTTATGCTCAGATAGCTGCTGTAAAACTTTACATAATAAAGGAGCAGGGAAACAACTGTCTAAGGTCCTTCAAGGACCCGCAGAACCTTTTCCTGAGTTTGTTGTGGGAGGTCACATTTTTGGGGATGTGGACACAGCTGTGGCTGTCATAAAGCAATTGGCCTATGAAAATGATAACAAATTCTGTCAGGAGGCTATATGCCCCCCCCCAGTAGAAATAGGAGTTTAAATGACTATATCCAGTTATGCAGGGACATTGATGGAACTCACATGATGGGACAGGTAATTGTTTCTGCCCTTAGGGGGAGTCAAGGTGGAGTTAGGTCAAGGACTTGTTTTTCAATGTGGGTGTCCAGGACCTTTTAAAAGGAATTCCCTGTGGGTGAAGGGGTGGGTTGTTAGCCCAGGGGAAATTTGCTTTTAGTGTACTTGGAGATCTCAATAGGGTCTAGCCAAGTTTGAAAATTCCTGCTGGAGCCTTAAAATTCTTCCCCTCTCTGCATAGTCTTACTGGATTTTTTTTTCTTTTTTTGCAGCAAGGGCCCATTCTATGGGTACATGAACATGTGTCACCTGTAAAAATTACGATCTCGTATCCATCTGCTGTGCTATGTGTTATTCAGAAAGGGTATAAACTTAGTTTGCAAACCTTTGGAATGTTACCTGGTAAGGTTATTACAGCATATACCCAGGCAGAAATAACTTGGCTGCAAAATATGCTGAAGACTGGGCCTTGTTTTTATGCATTAATCCCTGCAGGTTTGATAATCATTATCCTTCTGATGAGTTGGTCACCTTTTTCAAAAATCATCTGGTATGCTTCCCTAAGGTTATTTCTTTGAACCTCTGGCAGGGGCACAGAGTCGTTTACTGATGGGTCTTCCACTGGGAGAGCTGTGATGGCCTTTCCTCCTGATTTTGATATTCAACCTGTTGATGCTAAATCTGCTCAGGTGGCTGAATTGATTGCTGTACAAATGGCCCTAGAGAAATATGCTGATATTCCATTTAACCTTTTTACTGACAGTCACTATGTAAGCAAAATTCTTTTTTTCTTTTTTCTTTTCTTTCTTTTTTTTTCTTTTCTTTTCTTTTTTTTTTGTAAGCAAAATTCTTGTACTTTGGAAACTGCAGCTTATATTGCCTCTGTATCTTGAGTCCAGATGCAGTCATTGGCTATTCAAACAATGCTTTGTGCCCAATCTGTTCCCATTTATGTAGGGCATTTGCGGGCTCATACTGACCTTCCTGGTCCCTTGAGTGAGGGGAATGCATTGGCTGATCAGCTTACTTGCCAAATTTGTGCAGTTAGTCAATAATCTTATAAAGCTGCAGAAAAAGTTCATAATCGTTTTCATCTCAATGCTGGGTCTTTAAGATTTCATTTTAAGATATCTCGAGAGCAGGCCATTGATATTGCTAAAAAAATGTTCTCTGTGTACAAAACTTTTAGCTGTTCCCCATTTGGGAGTTAATCTTTGTGGGCTTGCTCCTAATCATTTATGGCAAATGGATGTTACCCATGTTCCTTCTTTTGGGTGCATGCAATGTGTTCACGTAACCGTGGATACATATTCTCATCTTATTTTTGCCTCAGCCCATACAGGAGAAAAATTATGAGATGTTAAAAGTCACTGTCTCCAGGCTTTCGCCTACATGGGAGTTCCAAAAACTGTAAAAACTGACAATGGGCCAGCCTACACCAGCACTGGCTTTGCTAAATTTTGCTCTGAGTTCCCTATTTCTCATAAAACAGAAATACCTTATAATCCTCAAGGACAAGCTATGGTGGAGTGAGCGCATAGTATGCTCAAAGCCTATTTGCATAAAGCAAAAAAGGGGAATATGGTTCCACCACCAGAGAGCATTTATCTTTTATTTTATACATTTAAAAAAAATTTTTGACTGTTGATGCTCAATCTCGTACCACTACTGACCGCCATTGGCGGCCAGTTCCTCCTGGGATGCCTCATGTCAAATGGAAGAATCTAGCCGACGGCACTTGGTGTGGTCCAGATCCTGTACTGGTGTGGGAAAGAACGACTGTTTGTAATTTCCCACAGGATGCTGACAGTGCAGTATGGGTACCTGAGCACCTGGTGCGTGCTGTGGATTTTCCTGTCCAAGAGCCTGAGGACAGGACAGAGCCAAGAGATCAAATAGACACTGGTTGGTCAACTGAAGAGTTGCTGGGGTCCTGAGGAGCTGGCGGTGGTTTTCCAAGTGCCAAGGATTGTTCCTCTACCTATCAACCCATCTCATGATGATCAACTCATCCTGTATCAAACAAGAAGAGATTTTGGCTTTACAGCCATAATGTATAAAATCTCCCACATGGTACAATTAAAAAAACTGTTACATTCTTGAATGGTAACGTGTTCAGACATTTTAATTATAAAAGAAAATTTTTTCTCTTACCTGCAACGACTGGTTCCTGCCGGTGGTGGTCTCTGTGGTTTTGGAGCCTGTCTTGGAACTAGCTCTTGTAGACCAGGTTGGCCTCGAACTCACAGAGATCCGCTTGTCTCTGCCTCCGGAGTGCTGGGATTAAAGGCGTACGCCACCACCGCCTGGCTGGCCTCGAACTCACAGAGATCCGCCCGCCTCTCTGGATATTAAGGGCCTGAAGGCCGAGTGTACCTCGGACTCAGCCCTGGGGCCCGAGTCACAAACTAAGAAAATGACACCCGGGAGCGTGCTGTGTTAGTGTGTTAGTGGGGGGGGGGGGCAAAATAGCCCGACGTTGGACGCCAAAATGTATCGGTGTAAGCGAATGCAGACAGATTGTCAAAATATAGACAGCTTTAATGGAGGAATAGACTTACAGAACCACCATTCCCGCGGAGACCAAGAAAGCAGAAGCGAGCACTGGGAACCAAATTTATAGGCAAACTTTAGCCTGGGGCGAACACGCCCCCTAAGGGGTGGGACTTATCCCTACAATAATGGTGGTGGTTGCTAAGGCTGCCAGAATGGCTATGTCTGCTGAATTTACCATTAGTCAGTCAGTTGCTTCTGCTAGCACAATGGATACCTTATGGGGCAGGTTGCAAATGCCTTGTCCACTCAAAATGAGCTAAATTCACAAATGAATATTGCAGTTAAATTTGCAATTGGTGCAATTTGCAGTGGTTCAAGACCACTGTAAGGTTACAACTTACAAATACAATAAAAAAAAAGTTTAATGCTGTTATTCACGGACTCTGGAGTACACAATTTACAAACTGGCTCATGACATTATTCTAGTTAACTATACTAGGGTTCCTCTCACCAACGCTGAGACCTTACTTAAAGGGCTCCAATTTGGGCATACTCATTAAGGATTGAGCAGGCACAGCCTCCTTAAAAGTGCTTATGTGTGCTGGAGCATCATCTTCATGTTTTCACGGTGCCAGAGCCAGAGGCAAGCTCAGGTCAATGTCTCCACTTGGCGAGTCCTCTTAGCTATTGCCCTGGAGAATCTTTCAGCACAAATCTGGCTGAACATGGTGATGGGTGACTAGTGAGCTAATGATGGGAAAGGTTTTGGGGGGCCTGCCCCAACCTAAGACAGGAAATGTGTTTTGGGTAATGGGTGTTGCCTGATGTCCAATGCCACCTAAGACAGGCCTAGTCATGTAATGTATATAAAAGGGGGACCTGTAGGGCCCACTGATCTACCTCACCTCCCGGGGTACCATAGAGAGTAATGCAGGTGTTACACCATACCAATAGTAGCACCCTGTTGACTAAACCTTAAACATGTGACCCTTTAGGGGATATTCATCCAAGTCATCCCTGGGTCTGTGCTACTCTTAGTGGTCCTTCCCCAATGACCAGTCCAAGAGCCAGTGGACTATGAGAGCACAGGGAGCTTGATGAGGGCTGCTGAGAGCACGCTGGCTCCAAGAAGCTTCGCTGGCCTTCTTTGGTGGCTATAGACAAGAATGTCTGTAGTCCCAGGTGCAGTGGCAGGCAGTCTCTGGGGAACCACCTCTGACATTGGATAAGTCAGAAAACCCCAAGGGACTTGCTTCTGGTCCTTTGGGACTTGCTAGTTTCCCACCTGCTTACGCCAATGTGAGACCTGCGTTGAGAGCAGACACCTCAGCGTGGACACAGCTGTCCCTTCCTGGCAGTGAGAATTCAAAAGCCACAGGATGCGGACTGAATCAGTTAACAGTGTGGCGACAACCAGCCCATTGCTGGCCTGTTCCCCTTCAGAAAGCAACTTGGGTTGCAAGCTCAGCCATCATCCACCATCCACCATCAGCCTCCGTGGCCTCGGTCTACTGACATTTACATGACCAGATCAGTAAGAAGCTGTATAAAGAAAGGATACAGAGTAACCAACTATGCTGCTGGTCCCCACACCTTCCTCGTGGCCATGCTCAGAGATGGGCCAGCATCACCCTCCTCCTGGGCCTTCCCTAGACCATGCCAGGCAGAGTTTGTCTCTGGAGGTTTATCACCACCAGAAAAACTCAGTTTATTTCTGACATGTCGGAATTCTTGTTAGGACCAGAATGCATCCCGGCCAGCACTGCCATTTCTGGGACACCTTAGTGACAGGCATAGAATCCTTCTCACTTCTTCAGATCATCAGAGCCTACAGCAACTGCAATATGTAGGAATCCATGAAGCCACTGCCCTTCTCATCCCACCCCCAAGCAGGGCCGCCTGCTTTGAGAAAGGTTCTTGAAAGGTTCTTTAAGGCTTTGAAGATGGAGGGAGAGGGAGCTGATGACCGGGACACCAGTCTCATTGCCACCTACTATCCTGACCCTGCCCTGAGAAAGAGGAAGGTCTTCTTGTGATTGTCCTCACCATAGCTGAGCAGGACTGTGGATGGGCTGCTGTTACTGTTCAGTGTGTACCCGCCCCCAGCTTGTGAGACACTGCAGAGATCTTTCTGTGACGGAAGAGACCAGCAGGTTCCCAGCTTTCCTGGCAGGTGTCCAGGGTCTGGGTCCTTTATTCCTGGGTGAGAGCTGCTGCTGGGATATGCAATGCAGGGCTGCTCTGCTCTTGCAAGAGCTTCAGGGAGATTGTGTGGCACCATAGTTGTTTCTGCAGCATTTGAACCCAGGGGATGGGCATACTCTCAGACCTAGTGAGGTGGCTTCATCCCTAGCGATTCTGGGCAGACTCAGTGGACAGACAGGCAACCTGGATGTGTGAACTAGGCTGGACAAAGAGAAGGACACAAGGGCCACTGAGAGTGTTCAGGAAGATATGAGCCTGAAACCAGAACACAGAGACTGTGGAAATATGAGGCAACAAAGATCCAACCAGGCAGGGCCTGGCCCAGTTCCCTAGGAGCTGGGGACTGTCTTGGTGACCCTGTCTGCTATGTTTTATGGATAATCCAGGCATTTTTTAATCAAGGTAAATATTCACACAGAAATAAAAACCCTACTTAAGTATCAGATAACGGATGTTATAGGGTAAGAATTGCCAGGATATGGGTCAGCCTTAGAGTCCTGGTCTAACATGTGAGGCCCTGGGTTCCATAGCCAGTATTAAATCAATCAATCAGTCAGTCAGTCAGTCAATCAATCAATAAATAGAATAAAATAAAGGTCCTCAAATGACTTTCATATTTAGAATTGGAAAGTGACCCTTGGCAATGATACAAGGCAGGTCAGGATATTCCCACTGCTTGGACAGCAGCAGCCCGAGTGCCCCCCGTGAGCCCTCAAGAAGGCAGCAGCAGCTGGGCAGTGGTGGCGCACGCCTTTAATCCCAGCACTTGAGAGGCAGAGGCAGGCGGATCTCTGTGAGTTTGAGGCCAGCCTGGTCTACAAGTGCTAGTTCCAGGACAGGCTCCAAAACTACAGAGAAACCCTGTCTCGAAAGACAAAACAAAACAAACAAACAAAAGAAGGCAGCAGCAGCACTGGGTCACACATACTGTGCTGTTCCTGCGCACACACAGGTACTCTCGGGGAGTACAATGCACCAATTAGACCCTTGGGAAGTTACTAACAAAGTGGAACACTAGTACCACAGCAAAAATGACCGGAAACTTACACACTTTTATTTCTAGAATTTTCTATTTAATATTTTCAGTCCAGACTTGACCTCTGGCAATTGAAATCACAGAAAATGAAACCATAGCAAAGGGGACTGCTATCCTCAAGTCCTGCTCCACTCCGTCGGCCCAGTCACGTGTGAGTGACTCTGGGAAGGATTCTAGGTGATGACACTCAGCAGTTAGCAGGAACACCTGCGGGTCCATCCGACCTGAATTATTAATCATGCGCTGACTGCAAAACATTTAAAAAGAACTGCAAACTAGAAAAAGAAATCCCTGAACATATTTAATGTAAATAAGTCCTTGAGATGGTACATTTTACAAAAATCCTCTTTGTAGGGAGAAGGTAATAAGAGATTTCAGGAAATGATGACAATTACTTTTTTTTTTTTCCAACTGCGGTGAGAATGAGGAGGAATCCTGCCCCTCCTCAATACATTGTGTACAATCCATCCAGCGTGAAGAGCTGACCAGCAGGAGGTGGCTCCGCCTCAGGTGCCCAGAGGGATGCGCCCAGAGGGAGGCGCCCAGAGGGAGGTGGTGCACTTTGTCTTGGGTGTGCAAAGCATCTTCCAGCTGCAAGGTGGTTCAGCCTAGGTGTGCAACGTGTTTTCCAGCCACACAGTGCTTCTGCAGTGGTCAAGCCATTTATCCGCCCAGACCACTTTCTGATGACTGCCCACTTCTCTCTTTCTTCTTTACCTCTCTCAAACAGTAAACTGTCATGGGTGATACAGCTCGAGAATATGTGTTCCCGTGAAAACAATTCCCATCAACAGCATGGTCCGTGTGCACAGCGTATACACAGGAAGGCACACAGAAGTTAAAGCCGATGTAGATCCATCTTAGAGGGTTCTGTGCTGCTGAAGTGGCAGCCCTGGGGTGGTGCTGAAGATTCTGGGAGGAAGGGAACCAGTCTCTGGCTGAGTTTGCGGCAGTACAGGTGGCAAGACCTTAGGAAGGGAAGATGGTCCCCTCCCTCCTTAAGCCTGGCAAACCACCGAAAGGCTGTAGGAGTCAACTTTCCACAGCAAGCGAGCCCCCAGACCTGCCTGCGGCCAACTCCTGTCCATCTCTCAGAAGACACAGTAGGCTCAGCAGGGTGGTGAAGTGTTTCCATGAGCAGCTGCTCCTTTCTGGCTGGTTCCCACATCACCTGAGGCACCGTATGGACATTGCAGAAAGTCGAAAGTGGTCCTATTCGCTAGGAGTAAAACCAGGAAAAGCCAGTTTCTACTAAAAAGCCCATGTTGCTAAATGTCCTTTTCTCTTCGTTTCCATGTCTTCAAGGTACTAAATTTTAACTCACTTTTAGATTAGGGTACAGTTTGTGATGGGGGCTGGGAAACATGGAGGCAGAAAAAAAGAGGTCCATAAATATCCCTTAGGGTTCTACCTGGGAGGGGAAAGGTCAAGCCCCACGCAGAACCCACACGTGCATCCAGATGAGCTGAGACCAGGAGCAGCCTCTGGAAGGGTTCACACGTTAATGTAAGAGTTTTTTTTTGTGTGTGTGTGAGTCCATGTGCCTGGTGACTGCTATAACACACTGGCATCTTCCATGGCCTCCATCCACCTATAAAACAGAAGACAGCGTTGGATATCTTTGTGACTGGACTAGATTCTTGCTAGCCTGAAGCCAAGAAATGTGCCGCCGCGTTTGTGTATAGTTCCCAAGCATGTTTCCTTTATTTAGAACACAGCTGGGATAGTATGAAAGTTGATTGAATCAATGCCCACATAAAGGAATCATGAGAGTCTCTGGCTGTCCTGGAACTCACTCTGTAGATCAGGCTGGCCTTGACCTCACAGAGATCCACCTGCCTCTGCCTCACTGAGTGCTGCGCTGCCACCACCCGGCTACACTGCATTCTCTTACGTTGCATTTGTTTAGCTCTGTGAAGCTGTGTTACTTTGCCTGTCTAAAACACCTGATTGGTCTAAGAAAGAGTTGGATGGCCAATAGCAAGGCAGGGGAAAGAATAGGCGGGGCTGGCAGGCAAAGCAAATAAACAGAAAGGAAGAGAGATCAAGGATTGAGAAAAGAGGGGCCAGCCACCCAGCCAGACACAGACTAAGAGTAAAACTAAGATTACAGAAGTAAGAAAAGGAAAATCCCAGAGGCGAAAGGTAGATGGGATAATTAGTTAAGAAAAGCTGGCTAGAAACAAGCCAAGCCAAGGCCAGGCATTTATAAGAAAGAATAAAACTCCATGTGTGATTTATTTGGTGCCTCCCAAAGAGTCAAGTGAGTAAAACAACCAGCAACATCTCACAACCCAGAACACGCAGGCCTGCAGTTGTGCTAGGACCCCCCAGGGGCCTGAACAGACAGTGCAGGGTGACGCTGCATTCTCCGTAAGACAGACACAAGACAAGACTAGCTGTTGCTGGTACCTCTGAGCAGAACTGCTGTCCTCTGCTTTGAAGCTATAAAACAGGGTTTTCTTGTGGTAAAGGTGAAAGACTGGCCCAGCTTCATTGCTGCCGGCCTCCTTTTCCGGAGCAATAGTGAAACCCAGCAGAGGGATGCTCTCCATGGCCACTTTGTCCTGCAGGGGACAGAAGGAACATCTGATATTAAAACCACACCCATAACCCTGCATCCTCCTAGGCTCAGGGAACATCACAAACGGATGGGGAGAGAAAGAATGAGAGAGCTGAAAGATGGGGAAGACGCTGTGGAACTCTCCTGGACGTGACTCAGGCCATTGTATCATGAACTCCCTGCAGCTATGGTCCCTGCACAAGGTCAAGCCAACAAGGTCAGACAGCATCCAACAGGCAGCACTAACTGGATTCAATGTGTCATTCACACACACACACACACACACACACACACACACACACGAAAGGACATGAAAGTGGGAGGGGCATATTTAGGGGTTTGGGGGAGTGGATAAGATCAAGGTACATTGTATGCAATGTGAAATTATCAAATAATAAATAAAAGGTTTTAAAAAGTCACACTGTATCAGCCCCTAACATTGATCCCTGCCTCCAGTGGAAGAGCATCTCTAATCACGTTTGCTTCCTGCCAGAACCAGTCCGGGAAAGGAAAGGGGCTTAAGTTCTGACAGCCAACTAGGGCTAGACGTGTGCAGTGCCATTATCTTTTAAATTCTCTACCATAGGCAGAGAATGCCCAATGTCACACAGCTAGCATAAGGATTCGAACTCACAGCCTTCTAGTATTCTTCCTATGGACTGGAGTAGTCAAGGATTTTGTATCCCAGAGTTTGTTCTGGCAACACATTCTGTACGCATTTCATGAAGTCTTTGTTTAAGGTGTCTCAGCAAAACCCCCCATTGTCTATGTTAGAATACCCCTAGCCTGACAGATTACAAAATACCCTGCTACCGTCCTGGCTTGCTTCCTCCCTTCCCCCCTTGAGACAAAGCCTTACATGGGACTCATGGTAATTCCCCTGCCTCATCTTCTGAGTACCAGGAGCCATTGGCATGCAACACGATACCCGGCTCAGTGACATGACTTCTTAGGATGTGGCTGTTTTGAGCTGTGTTTCAACTTTCAGACTGGAAAGACGAGCCCCTGTCCCTGATGCAGAAAGTCCCACTGTAGACAAATGAACCAAGGTCCCCTCTATCTGCCTGCTCTGCTGGTCTGGTGTGTGAGGATGAGACACACAGTGACCATCACAGCTGCAGGTCTGTCAAGAGACAGGTCCTCCACCATCTGTCAGGACACATGTAAGTCTTGATTGTAATGTGGATTTGGCTTATGGAAGCCCCAAGGTGGTAGACCTGGAGACGGAAACCACCTTATTGTCCAGCTCATTCAGCCTCTGAAGGACTAGCCAGCAAGATTACACCACCACCACAGTCCACATCTGTCTACCCTGGAAGAGGCTGGGCCTAAGGGCTCTCTTGTTTGTTTGTGTTTTATTTTTGAGAGAGGAGCTCATATTGTCCAGGCTGGCTTGAATTCACTCTGCAGCTGAGGATGACCTTGAACTTCTGTTCCCCCTGCCTCTGTGCTAGAATTATAGGCTTGCACCACCACACCTAGGCTATGTAGTGCTGGGTACCGAATCCCAGGCTTCCTACATGCTGAGCAAGCGTTCCAATAACCGAGCTGCAGCCCAGCCCTTGCTTATATATTAGACACTAAAACCAATATGTCCTATAAAAGTAGCAATGTGCTTTTATTTAGAAGCCTCACTGGAGCCTGTAGTTATTTTAGTAAAAGCAACGGATAGGCACAAAGGGAGCAGTTTTCTCTGAGCTGCCGTATGTTGTCCCAAGGAACCGAGATAGAGAACAGAGGCAAGTTTTTTCTTATGACCTTGTCCTGGCTGCTGAGCCTGTGACATTTAAGTGCTCTGTGAGTGCTCACAGCCACATTCTAACCCAAAGACTTGAAAACCAGCAGCAGAGGTCCCAGGAGTATCCAGAACTCAAGCCTGCAGATGCACGGAGACCCTAGCTGGTTGGTCCTCCATCCCCATCACACTCATACTTAACACAGGCCTCATGGAGGTAACAGCTGCTGAAAGGATGGATGTACCTCACTGGCCAGGTAGGTGTAGAGCACTTTGCCCTTGATGACTAGCCAGAGCTTCTTCCAGCGTCGCTTGCCACTCTTACAGCGGCTCAAGTAGCCGCTGATGGCCGAGCCCTCTCCGGATGCGGCCACCTGGTGGGGAGAAAAAGCAGGTAAACAGACAAAATGGCCAGGGTGGACCCTCCACAGGGGAGTTTGAAAGCTGCTCCGATCGCTGGTCTCTTGCGGTCAGTAAAGCTACTTTGGGGGCCTAGGAAGCAGGTGTGAAAGTCTAAAGCTGCCTCCAGGTGGGCTGCCCCTACTGGGATGCTACTCCCTCCCAGGACACAAGATTCATCCACCGTCCGCTTAGAAGGACTTCACACTTAAGAAGGGATATGGGGTTGGGGGGAGTCCCCTGCCTGGCAGAGTAGATGCAATCCTACAGTGTCATACTGCTGCCCCTGTTTAGGTGACATCTCATTACAAGGCTCTGGCTGTGGCTAACACTGAATGGGGCTCCGGTACACTGTCTATGTATGAGGCCCTGGGTTCCATCACCAGCACCAGAAAGCAAAGAAAACAAAAGAAACCTCCAGTTTGGTTTGGAGGGCTGCAATCCAAAGTTCCATCAGGCTCCAGCAGTAACTATGCCTATCACCAGGCAATTTACTGACTTGCGGGCCTCCATTTTCTCACTAGTTATAAGTAGGAGGCATCCTGACAGGTACCGTGCCTGATTTACACTGAGTGAGTTGGAAAGCAACATGGCCAAGTTTAGGGATAATTTCCTCTGATTTTCTCATTTTCCAGACAGGGGAACTGAGGCCCAGAGGGATTTCCTAAAGTTCAGTCCTCCTCAGCTTAAAGGAGGATGACACTCGGTTCTTTCAGGGCGAAACTAAACTAGGCTTCCTTTCCAGCCATAGCTGGTTGTAGGTTCTAGGCTCTAACCTGAATGTTGCTATTTTGTAATTGTGATTTTGCTACTATTATGAATCATAATATAACTATTTGATACACAGAATATCTTATATGCTAATTTATGCCTGGGCTCTCACCCCACTTGCCCTGATGAAGCCCCTCCACAGATCCGATGGCACAGATCCGATGGAACACCTCCAAAGATCCCATGGAGTATTCCCACAGGTCCAATTCTGTAGCCTCCTGAGAACTAGATACTTGGGTTTTCAGAGTCTTCCTCTGGGAAGCAACGCTGCAGAGGCAGAGCCCCTGTAATGGGAGGGGGTGCCAGGAGTGGAGCTGTGGGTGCCCCTCTCCTGGAGCTGGCAGAAGTAAGCAAGGGTCTGTGAGCACATTTCTATGCTATGAAGGAGCCATAAGGATTTTGGTCATGGCTGGAGAGGTAGAAAAACTCACTTTTTTTTTTTTTTTTTTTTTTGTTTTGGTTTTTCGAGACAGGGTTTCTCTGTAGCTTTGGAGCCTGTCCTGGAACTAGCTCTTGTAGACCAGGCTGGCCTCGAACTCACAGAGATCTGCCTGCCTCTGCCTCCCGAGTGCTGGGATTAAAGGTGTGCGCCACCACTGCCCGGTGAAAAACTCACTTCTATATTGTATATTGTTTTGTCTATTTTGCAGATTTGTTTTTTTCTTACCATGTATATATTAATTTCAAGATTTTTGGGGCGTGATCAGAACTTTACACACTATCAACAGGCAGGTTCTTTATCACTAAGCTATATCTTAGCCATATTTCCAAGGTCTTTAGTTTGCAAATGGAAAAAGTTAATGGCTAAAACAGCACTCATTCACAGACAGTCACTCCCTAACTCAGTGGTTCTCAATTTGTGGTCCTTTGCGGGAATTGCATATCAGATATTCTGCATATCAGATATTTATATTACAATTCATAATAGTAGCAAAATTACAGTTATGAAGTAGCAACAGAATAATTTTATGGTTGGGAGTCGCCATAACATGAGGAACTGTCTTAAAGGGTTGCAGCCTTAGGAAGGTTGAGAACCACTGGCCTAACACCTCTTCGCACCCACTGCTGGCTTGATGACGACTATTAATGGGGACTTGAATGCAGCTGGCTATGCCTCTTGGGAAGGCTCTACTACTCATGGGCACTGCTTGGGTTCCTACCTGCAAGACAGACCTGCGTTTAGCCAGTTTTGAGGTTTCTTGCAGAATTTCATAGCCTCCGGGAGGCTCACACCTGTGCTATCCGCTTCCCGCAGTCTGGGAACACACAGCTCACACATGCTAACTTGGGACAATTACCCATAACTCCATGGGACAATTAATGATGACTGCTACTCACCAGTGACCTGAGCGACCCTATGGGCATTAATTCTATGCCATAGGGCCAGAGAAAAAGAAAGACAAAGAGGGACACAAAGATGCCTCGCAAGCACCATTTCAGCCCCAGAGGTCTTCTGCAGACGGGGTGGCACCAGCTAACCTCAATATCGGAGTCTTTCCTGGGACCGCGACTTGCCGCTGTCTCCCATGTATGCCTTACCTCCGCCAAGGCTGAAGGGACTTTTTTCTGCTTCTTGAAAGTTGAAGGACTAATGCTGTGGAAGACGGAGGAGAAGGTGCTGCCCGAGGAGAAGCGGGAGGAGGACAGTGGGAAGCTCATGCTGACCGGACGCTCTGTAGAGGTAAGAAAGCAGGGGAAGGGTGTCTGGAATGCTGGCTCAGGTTCCTCCAAGGCTCATGGTGGGAAGGGGGTAGGAATGGGAGTCAAAGAGAATGGCTGGCATGCTCTTTCCTGCTGATGCTGCACCTAGGTTTTGAGGGATGGGAGCCACTTTTCTAGGATACTGGACAGTTGTCCTGGGTCCACTAGCAGGACTATGCTTCCCCTGACGACCTTAGTGTGGCCTCTGGAAGGTCCATACTACACCTACTATCCCTCCTGCCTGATAATTCTGGGCACAGTTTGTTACTTAAGTATCAAGTCTCAAGGGTGAATTCAGCTTCTAAGGGGCTCTCTGTCCTTTCCTGACCCTGGAGATGCTCCTAGCAGCCTCACAATCCTGCCAAAAGATCCCAAAGACAGCACATTCGTGGACTGTTCCTGGGAGTCCCCCAGAAGCTGGGGAGATGGCTCAGCAGTTAAGAGCACACACTGCTCTTGCAGTGGACCTGAGTTTGGTTCTCAGTACCCACATCAGGTGGCTCACAGATGCCTATAACTCCAGTTCCAGGGGATCTGACACCTTCTTCTGGCCTCTTTGGGAACCTGCATTCATGTGCACATATCCATACACAGACACACATTATTAAAAATAAATCTTTTTAAAAAAAAGTTCCAGAGAACATAGGCCAATGGAATACCCTGAAAGGGTCATCCATGGTGAACAATCACAGCAACCCTGTCTTCTCTATGGTTTCACAGGGACACAGCAGCTATCAGGTTCCCATGGAGCCCGGGTCTCAAGCCTTAGTCTCCCCAGTGGCGGCAGAACCTTTTCTCCCTTCTTCAGGAGAAAGTAGGTTCAAGCAGAGTACCCTAGAGATTCTGAGAACTTGGGGAGAAGTCATCAGGCCTGGAAGACATCAAGGGCCTTGTAGAGTTACCTCTCATGGGGCCGGGGACAGGCCCATTCCTCAGTTTCAGCTCCCGGAAGCAGCCGTCACAGACCTTGGCCATCCGGTTCTTGAGGCACTTCAGTGGGTACTTGTTTCGAGAACAGTTCCGGCACACAATCTGAGGCCGTGTTAGGATCACACGTGTAAGCTGTGGGTCCCCCTCTCAGCCATGTGCTGTCAGCTAGTTAACCCACCCCTCACCTCCTTCTGGGAGTCCCAGGTTCCCAGCTGCTCTGCGCCATGTGGACCCTTGCTCTTCCAGGCCAGGCTACAGAGTGTCTCTGAGCAAGTGCTCTTACCCACGAAGTAACACCCTTTCCTCCAACAACCACAATAGTGAGCCCCAGGGCTCTTAACATGGCGGGGTGGTAGCAGTAGGGGCCCGAGACTAGCTGTGATTGGTGGATCTCAGTGACATGGACAGGAACAAGCTCTACTTCTCAGGGTGGCCTTGAACTTATCTTCTTTAGGTTCCCTGGGGCCCCCGTGGCCAGGGACATGCCCTCCCCTTCCTGAGCACACCCTTGCCCAGTCTGCCACTCACCTTGCCACAGGCGTGGCAGTGGTGGCGCCTCACGGTGAGCGAGAAGTCACAGCCGCAGTTCATGCACATCATGGCATGCGTGACAGGTACCAGGGTGGGGAGCCTCTCCCCGAGGCTGATCCCCAGCCTCTCCCGGATCTGTGGCAACCAGCAACCACAGTCAGGAGAGAGTCAGGTGGACAGCTGAGAAGGCGAGGACCCCTTCCCCCTTAATTCTGAGTAAAGTCTCCCACATCCCTTGGTCTGCTCTCCGAACTTCAGGGTATGGTCCTGGGTTGAACTGTGGTGCCATACTCTGTCTGACTGGAGCATGGTAGAGGGGATAGGATGGGGGCATTGCCAGGGCCCCTATGACAGGACACCCTTGTCCCCCTGCTGTAAGTAGCCTACAGCAGGATCCACCCGAGGGACCCTGGGGTGGCCTTCACTCACCTCCACACTGTGGTGGAAGGCAGCCAGAGCCTGGGTCTTGTAGTCCTCCGGGAGGGCTCTGCTCAGACAGTAGTGCCATTCGTCCCTCTCCGCGCAGGAGCTGTAGGCACAGGCTGGGTGAACCACAGTGCTGTAGATCTGCCTGGTACCCTTTGTGTTGCTGTGAGTTCTTGCTTAGCAGCCTCTGGTCTGAGTCTTGCCCAATGTCCCAGTCCCTCTCTACCTAGAGAGCCGAGGGCAGCCCAGGAGGAAGCTGGGTGGAAATTCTAAAAGTTCCCACTAGGTGTCGCTCTCACCCCACACAGGATCTTTCCATAGTCCAGAGAAGCCCAGGCAGTGAGAAGAGACCACTTTGGTCTCTTGTTCAGAGGGCAAACAGGTATGATAGATAGTCAGGGCCACTCTGCTTAAAGGGGAGCTCTCCTCCACTGTGTGGGGTCTGGGCTATCAGGAAAGCAGACCTGACAATGGCAGCTGGTGTTCCAGGCCACAAGCTAGGCGGACAGCAGTGCCTCAGTTAGGAGTAGACACCATTGTGGTCTGTCACCCCCTGTCATTGGCTGGGCACCCAGAAACTAGACCCTGAGCCCCGAAGCCCTGATTGCATCAAGCAGAGAAGAGAGGCCATGGAGCAACTCCAGGAGACTCTTCCAGGAAGTCTTTCCTCCCTGTTGTGGAACATCCTTTGTCCCTTCTATCCTGTAGGATTACAACAAGAAGGTATCACCCACAAACATGGAGCTCTCACCAGAGCCCAAATAGACTGGTGTCTTGGCCTTTCATTTCCCAACTCCTGGACTGAGAGAAGCAGATTTTGTTTCTCCAACAGCTAGTTCATGGTGTTTTAATTACAGCCTCCTCCCACGTCCTGAGACCCTCCCCTAAAGACAGAACGGCCAGTGATGGGCGGTCGCTCATCACTTCCCTGTTGTCCTGTTGAGAGGAAAGTGCCAAAGCTGCCAGCACAGCCCACTGAGCACACGGCACAGCTAAGTCGCCTGAGAATCTCACACTGAGCCCAGTCGTCCATAGCAGTTTTTGATGAGCTACTTTCATGGGGCATACAGTCCTCTCGGCATAGGAACCAGCATTTATGTTTGGTTTTATGTGGCTGAGGACCAAACCAGGACTTTGAGTCTCTCGGGGAGGTGCTTTACCATCGGGCTAAGCCCCAACCCCTGGGAATTTTTTCTTTGGTTATTATTTTCTAGTTCAGCCCCCGTGTGTGTGTGTGTGTGTGTGTGTGTGTGTGTGTGTGTGTGTGTGTATGAAAGCATAGCTGAGTGTACACATGTGTACATGAGTGTGGATGTCAGAGCTCAACTTCATGCATCTCAATCATTTTTCTTATCTTTATTTTTAAAAGATTTATTTTTATGGTGTTTTGCCTGCATGTATCCATTCACATGGAGTACCCATGGTGGCCAGAAGAGGGCATTGTAACGGGAGTTACAGGCCTTTATGAACTGTCATAGGGCTTCTGGGAACTGAACCCAGGTCCCCCAGAGGGGTAGCAAGTGCTCTTTAACTTCTGAACCATCTCTATAGCCTCTCTATTTTTTGAGGCAGGGTCTTCCACTAAAGCTGGAGCCTGTTTATTCTAATACACTGGCTTGCCTGTGAGAGTCTCCTAGCTCTGCCTGCCCAGTGCAGGGGTTCCTAGCATACACCACCACTCCTGGCTTTTCACATGGGTTCTGGTGATCAAACTCAGGCCCTCACTTTTGTATGACAATCACTTTACCTATTGCCTTACCTACTGCCCTATCTCTGCTGGCCCTAGTTTTGGCTTTTTGAGGCAGGATCTTTATCTTCCCTCCTCAGCCTTCTGAGAAAAGGTCTTGCTATATTACTCAGGCAGGCTTCGAACTTGTGATACTCCTGCCTCAGTGCTAGGCATTTTCTCTTTCCCTTTTTTTTTTTTTTTTGGCATTTTTCTAGAAGTTACATTCCACAGAGGTCCACAACACACAGCACTCAAGAAACACTGAAAACCAGGAGAGAAAGAGCCCTTTCCAAGAGGGCACCAGGCTAGAAATGATACCATCCCCTGCCTCTGCTCCCCTGAATGCTCCCACCCTGATGCCCCCATTCCCCATACCTTGCAGACAGTGTCAGGCAGGTCTCAGGAGTTTCAATCTTCAGAGCGTAGGGTACTTTATCCATCACGGGACGGCTGACCTGCCAGGAAAACCAACAACATCGACTTCAGGGTGTGTGTGTGGGGGGGGGGGGGCAGACAGGGGTTAACACAGACAGCTTTGTCCACTACTAGTGGGTAACAGGGTTCTGATTGACATGTGTGCTTCCATTACCTGCTGCTCTTCTGTCTCTTCTCAGCATGCCCTTCTCAGTCACCAGCCTCAGATGGCATCAAAGTTAACTTTCCAAAATGTTCTTTGTCCCCAGAATTCCCCCAAAGCACCCACATATCCTCATGTTTGAAACCAAGATAAACCATGCTAGTCCATACATTACACATACAACAGCTGAGAGGTGTCCAGTGGTAGATGAATGGAAAACACACACACACACACATACACACACACACATACACACACACATACACACACACACACACACACACACAGGAGCCTGAGCACGTGAGGGAGCAAACGTGTGTGCCTAGAAAAGGAAGAAGAACTGGACCAAGCTGCCACATGGAAATCTTGACCACAAAGCCAAGTGAAGCCAGTCGCTCCAAGAAGACAAATTCTACCTATATGAGGTCACTCAAATCAGTCAAATTCATAGCAATAGAACAAACGGTGGGTATCAGGGGCTGGGAGCAGGGATGGGACTCAGTGTTCAATGGACTGTTTGGGAAGACAGGAAGGTTCTAGAGCTGGGTGGAGCTGCTGGCTCAGCACTGGTTCACGTCACTGAGCTCTGTCCTTACAATGGCGCAGAGGGTTGTGTGGCATGTATATCTTACACATTTAATAATATAACCCAAAACTGTTTGCTCCCTCCAAGTGGTTCCTGCATTACTGTCCTTCCCTTCCCTATGCACCATCCACTCCGAGAGTATATCATTGGTCCATTGTATCTGGGCAACCCTGTGCTTAATGTTGCAGTTCCCACCAAATACTGTATCCTTGGGCCTTGGTCCTCAGTGGAGAGGAGCAAGGTTGGCTCCATCTCACCAGAATCTCCTTGTGATGACTTTCCCACCACCGCAGGCCCTCGTCCCAGGGTACCCAGCGTTAGATATCTACCTTCATGCTGGCCACTGGCAGCGAGCTCTTCAGACGGTACTTCCCATCCTTCTGGGGATGTGTGTAGAGAAGTGTGTCGTTCATCTGCACAGAAGGAACCAAATCACACTGGTCCTAGCCCTGAAGGCTGCAGCAAGCTCTATACATAGCAGGTCCCTGGGCTCTGGGGTGCAGGTACCTAGCAATCCTCAGTGACACCCCACTAAGGAGTAAAACCATCCTGTGAAACCATCACCACAGTTCTACTCCTGTGGGAAACACCCAGAAGGACTCGGGACGTTTGCCAATGCTCTGGTACCCAGTGTTAGAACAGCTTTATGTGTAACAGCCCTAAAAGTGGAACAAAACAAATGTCTTTGACAGCTGATGGATAAAGAACTTGTGGTTCAGTCAGGCTGTGGAATATCGTACCCAAAGGAGTAGGCTGCCAGACTCTCTAGCCACAAGGCCAAATCACAGGCATGCTGGGGTGGGAGGAGTCAGACATGTGAGCGCATGCCCAATGTGAAGGTCCAACCCAAAGTGGCCTCAATCAGGCTAGTGTGAGGAGTGTGAGGAGGACTGACTGCCAGTATTAGTGGAGCTCTCTGGAACTATTGCAAATGTTCTCAACCCTGATCCAAGTGGTACTTATACAATGGCATACACTAGTCAACAAACACCAACACGTAACTTAAGACTGGCACATATAACTCTATACACACAATTGTTAAGAAAGGAAGTAGGGACTGGTAAAGTGGCCGATGCCTTTAACACCAGCACTCAGGAGACAGAGGCAGGTGAATCTCTGAATTGGAAACCAGCCTGGTCTATATGGCAAGTTCCAAACCAGCCAGGGCGACATAGTGAGACCATGCCTTTAAAAAAAAAGAAAAGAAAGAAAGTAGGGGCCACTGAGATGGCTCAGTTTAATCCTAGTAACCCACATGGTAGGAGGAGAAAAGGGACCACCTTCCTTGCTTCAGGGTCTAATTCAGGCGGCCCGGTCAGAAAATGTGTACAAGGCCCTTGGCGCAACCCCCAGGCAATCCTTGAGCACAGCTGCCGTGGCTTCCGTTCTTCGCTTCAATGCCTGACTCTCTGCCACTGACTCTTAGCTTCCTCTAAGACCCTCTCTACTCCATCCCATGATTCTCGGTCGGTCGCCAGTCTGTGCATTTCCCTCCTCTTACATCCCGAGGGCTGAGAGCAAGGCTGCGAGTGATCTTTGCGCTCGTGTCCTGGCACCGAGGTGTTGCCTGGTGAATCCTGGAACCACAGAGCTCTAAGCCGCCCTCCGTCATGCTACACACAACTCCAGCCGTGTCGGAGGCCGCTGACGGCACAGGAACAGCAGGGAGTGACACGGGAGTGAGGAAACAGAGATACCCAGGAGTCAGCAGGCCTATAGTTTGCCTCTGGGGGGTCCCCTAACAGCCTCTGTGTTGAAGGCGTGGTCCACAGGGTGGCACTGGTGGGAGGAATGGAACCTTTAGGGGTGGGGTCTAGTGAGAGGAAGTTAGGTCTTTGGGGCATGACCTTGAGGAGACTGTTGGAACCCAGCCCCTTCCCCTTCCTGTCTTACTTCCTAGCCACGAGGTAAGCAATGACTCTGTCTTGTTGTGCCTCTTGGCCATAGGCCCGAAACTTCGGGGCCATCCCATCAAGGGCTGGTACCTCCACAACTGGGAGGCAGATGCTGCCTTTCCTCTTTAAAGCCTGAGTGTCCCCGACACTTGTTCTAGGGGCAGTCACACAGAAGGTGCAGTGTCATGGGGGGCAGGGACAAAGAGCTACTTGCAGTATGAGAGCCTGAGGCTGGCATCCCCACCCCACAGGTCTTGGATACTCCCTGATGTTCAAGGTGTGGCCGTGTGTCCTCAGACATGTCAGACACGCCCACCTGCACAGAGTGGTGGATCAGAACCACGACCCTGACTACTCTCTGGGCCACCAACTAGACAAGTTGGCCTCCTCAGCCCTCTGCGGTCTCACACACCACAGAAAGTGCCGTAAGGAAGCCCCTGGGTTGAGCTGTTTCGTGGAGGCACGTGAGCTATTCATTTCAGCAGCACCACCGCCAACCATTCAAATAACATATAAGCAATGGTTTTTGTTTTCTTTTGTTTTTAGGGCTCAGTTATACATCCTGAAGACTGTCCTAGCTCCTCCGGTGGCCCTAGAAAGCCAACAGCGGGGCGTGGCTTACAGCCAGTGCTTACCAGAAACAGGTGCCGGGGGTGTCGGCTTTTGCCTCTCACTCTCATCAGCGTTCCTTCCTTCAGGAACTCCTGGAGGGAGAGAAGCCAATCTCAGAAGGCGAGAAAGTGTGGGCAGGTTCTGTGTAGGAAGCCATCACCATAGCTGCCCCAGTACCCACGAACAGCTCACGGAGACTCTGGGCTCAGGAACCCAAGCTGGGCAGCCCGGCCTTCTAGAGCGTCCATCCTCGTGCAGGACCAAGTCAACGCTGCTCTGGCCACCAAGCATGGGTCCCAGCTATGACTCTCTCTCTAAATGGCACCACAAAGGAAGGGTCCATTCGGAACATGGCCTTTGAAGATTTGCTGAACATCTGGACTGTGAATAGTGACTCCAGCCCCATCCTTCCAAAGGATACAAACAGAGATGTAGGAAGGACTTCGGGGCACAGAGCCTCAGTCAGAACTGCATAGGAGATTTCACAGAATTCTAGACTAGGAACATCCTGCCCATGTGGCTCTGTCCCTCTTTCCAACTGGCAATGATCACACTTCAAGCTATTTTCTGAGCGGGGCTGTATGTTTTCCATCTGGAAGCTAAAAAGCAAATCAATCAATCTCTCTCCCACCCCTCCCCTTCTGGGCAGAGAACCCAGGACCCTGCGTATACTAACCATGAGCTCCACTCCCAAGCGTCACCCATCCCTGTTTTGTTAAGATGCTATTTTTACGCTGCTTTCTTGGGGCTTGCCTTTGAGAGCTGCTCTGATCTCTGCTTTCCTGGCAATTTGGAACTAAAAACACTTGGTACAGTTTTTTCCCTCACTGGAGAGAGCTACCCCAGGGCAGTTATGGTGAGCAGAACTGACTGGCACTGTTTCTTTAACTGCCCCGGGAGGGCATCATGCAAGGAGGGGTGCAGACAAGCTCCAGGGTGGTGCACCATGTCCCCCACCCCTCCTAAACAGCACCTGCAGCCAGGCCCGTCTGGGGCCAGCCCAGCTGAACAATGGGCTTATCAGAGTCGAGCTGGCCCTCGTCCTTGCCCAGACAGCACTCACCCTTCCTGGCTGGAGGAGGTCCCCTTGGCCCCGCACACTGTACTCGATGTGGACCAGCTTCTGCAGGTTTTCCTGTGGGCAGGAACAGGAGATGGTCACCCTTCCACTCCCCTACCCAGTGCTGTGTACCCTCTGCAAGGGGACATTGCTTCCACTACAGAGGAAGAAAGCAGAGCTCAGAAAAGCCCAGCCTAAACCCACGCTCTGAGATGGCAGGTGGCACGGGGTTCTCGGCCTGGGATTTCCCAGCGATGAAAGATGAAGGGACTGCTGCACCTTTGGCCACATCACGGGGAGAGGAGGCTGGCAGAGGGAAGTAACGAGAATGAAGGGCCAGTGGGAGATGGTTCCGTGGGCAAAGGAACTTGCTGCCAGGCCTGACGACCTGAGTTCTCTCAGAACCCACTTGGTGGGAAAAGAGAGCAGACACCACAAGTTGTTTGTTCTCTGACCTTCAAATGTATGAACGTGATCAATGTAAAGAGATTATTTTTCAAAGAGGAAGGCAGTTGAAATGTTCTTGAGTTCGTGAAGGTCAAGTGTGGGCTGGTAGCACTTGGTAATGGAGCTGTGGACACTGTGGACAGGAACTAACCTCTCTCTCTCTTTGTGTGTGTGTGTGTGATCCTTGCCAGCTCTTGCAGCTGTCTGTCAGGCACTGAGGGTGCATGGGGGACAGAGTCCTGTGAGATGCCAGTGAGCAGGCCGCATACAAGGTTTCAGCACTCCAGAGGTCAGAAGCCTACCAGCCTCTGAGTAGAGGGCTCTGGACTGTGCCCTGATACCACACAGAAGCTGACTACCCCAGAAGATGGGCAAAGACCTGCCCAAGCCCAGCCTCAGGCTCAGGGTAGAATGGGGCTGCCATAAAGTGCGAGGCCACTAGACATGCCCTTCCCCAGAGAAGGCACACATGGGGAGAGGGTGTTTCTGCCTGCAGATATTTCTGAAAACCAGGAATAGAGCTGAATGTGAGGCAGCTCAGTTCTTAGAGATGCACAAGACCTGGAGGGAGATGAGGGCTGACAAGGACGGAGGTCAGATGAGTATCCAGCCCCATCATCATCTATGGCCAGCCTGGATCAACTGGTCATGCTCCCCACATCCCACCACACACAGCACAATCAAAACAAGATGTAAATGCTGTACTTCACAGCCTCCACAGAACTTACGTTCACAGCGTCTGGTATTCAACTAAAAGTCACAAGAACACTTCGGCTGCAGGGCATAAAGAAACCAAGTTGGAGCTGACCTGAGCTCTTCCTTCCAGATGGCTAGCTTCCATAGGGCTGTGCAGGTTGCTGGGCAAGAAAAGCTATCTACAAACCATCCTGCTAGGCAAGATGTGCCCACTGGTACAATAGTGGCATGAAGGCTGTGGGAGCAACCAGCCACTTTGGGATTGGATTCCAACAGAAGGGAAGTCACGTCTGTCACTGAAACCTTAGTCAAAAGCCCATGGCTAGGGAGGTGATAGGCCGTAGGAGGGAAACAATACTGTTGCCTTGATAAATGGACATGTTGTCAAAGTACATTCTAAATATCTGTTTATACATATAGATTAGTGCTGCCCTCCATCTTGGTCAGAGAAGCTTCTCTCTGCAGTGGTCCAGACTCCTAACTGTCAAAGTGCTGAGTTTAAATGGTGATTAAGTGTTCAGCCATATGTGGGACATCTACATCAACCCCTAACTCCTAAGGCTCAGAGAAGGACAGGATGATGGGGAGGAGTACCGTGAAATGCCATCTTCTAGACATGACATGGCCCTTGTATTCACAGCAGCTAGGGTCACCTGCCTAAGGCCTGCCAAATATCAAGTCACCAAGGTTAGTCACCATTGCAGCAGGTAGAACTAATTGGATTCGGTGAGTTACAGTAACAAAAGAAGAACACTAAGGGAGATATATACTGGGGATGCTTGGGAAGATTAGAAGGGGTAGATATAATCAAAATACATTTTTATGTGCATGAAATTATCAAATAGCAAATAAAAAAATATGCTACTTTTTGTTTTAATCATGAGAACAGACATCCAAAACCAAATTGGGTTGGGGGAATGGGCTGGAAAGGTGTCTCAGAAGAGAACACTGGCTGCTCGTCCAGAGGACCTGGGCTCAATTCCCAGCACCCACATGCCAGCTCACAACCACCTGTAACTCTAGCTCCAGGGGATTCAGTGTCCTCTGCTGGTCTCCAGAGGCTCCAAGTACACATGCTGCACACAGACTTACACATTTTGCTGGCCAAACACCCATTACATAGAATAATAATAATAATAATAATAAAATTTTAAAAATACCAAACTGGGGAGACAAATTTATTTATTTATTTATTTATTTATTTATTTATTTATTTATTTATTTTCAGAGAGAAAGCAGTGTACACATTCTAGGTGACAGGCATCAGAGCTCTGGGCCAAGAACCAAAGCAACTGTTACGCTTTGGGCCCGGTGCGAAGGTAGATGGCACATATGGGCATATGGAGAACTTAAGTATGGCAGCTGACTTCACAGAGGAGTTTAGGGAAACTGAAACAAAGCACACAACCCACAGTACCAGACACGGAGACTCTTCCCAGGCTTAGCTGTGAACTGAACAGATCTGAGGAAAGGAAGAGCCAGAGAACATGAAGATAGATCACTAGAACACAGGGTGAAGAAAGAGGGGTTGGGGAGATAGCTCAGTAGTTAATGGGCTTGCCTTGAATGCAAGGGTGAGGATCTGAGTTCAATCTCCCATACCCATGGAGAAGCCTGGATGTGGTGCCTATAATCCCATCGCCAGGGAAGTGGATATTGATCAGCCAGTCTAGAGTTTTAGGGTCAGTGAAAAATTGCCTTAAAAAATAAGGTAGGAGCTGGGCGGTGACGGCGCACGCCTTTAATCCCAGCATTCGGGAGGCAGAGGCAGGCGGATCTCTGGGAGTTCGAGGCCAACCGGGTCTAGAAGAGCTAGTTCCGGGACAGGCACCAAAGCTACAGAGAAACCCTGTCTCGAAAAACCAAAAAAATAAAAAATAAAAAAAGTAAAAACAAACAAAAAAAAATTAAGGTAGGTCACCGAGGTGTGGAGGCACATGCCTTCTTCCTTCCTTCCTTCCTTCCTTCCTTCCTTCCTTCCTTCCTTCCTTCCTTCCTTCCTTCCTTCCTTCCTTCCTTTCTTTTTGTTTTTTCGAGACAGGGTTTCTCTGTAGCTTTGAAGCCTGTCCTGGAACTAGCTCTTGTAGACCAGGCTGGCCTCAAACTCACAGAAATCCACCTGCCTCAGCCCCCGAGTGCTGGGATTAAAAGCATACACCACCACTGCCCAGCTAAGGCACATGTCTTTAGGCAGAGGCTGATGGATCTTTCTGAGTTCTAGGTCACCCTAGTCTGCATAGTACGTTTCAGGATAGCCAGAGCTACATAGATAGAACCTGCCTGGAAAAAAATGGTGGAGGCCCACTCTGCAAAACAAAACCCATACCTGGCCCCATCATCGGAGCCAAAAGTCCATGGCTAAATAGGTCATGGGTCCCAGTAGAGAACCTACCATTGTCATTCTGCTAAATGGGCATCATATTAAATGGATACCTAATGATTTATTGTTATACCCATAGATTAGTGCGTCTCTCAGCTGTCACCCGAGAAGCTGCTTTTAGCAATAAACACCCACAACTGATCAGGGTGTAGAGAACGAGAGACGGCAGAATGCTCAGCCCTAAGTGGGATACCTGTATCACACTCCTGCCTTGCAAGGCGCAGGGATCAAAGCAGAAGAAGGGGCAAGAAGATTGTAAAAGCCAGAGGTGGTGGACGACTATGAGAAAACTGTGTTTTCCGGACTCAAGAGGGCAGCTGCACAGATGAACTCTCAGCAGCTGTGACAGCATGCACTTGCAAAGACCCAAGCCAGCACGGAGAGAGGGAAGGTGGGCATGAAGTCCAACTGAGTCCCAGCTGAGGAGCTACTGGCAGTTGATAGTTGCTGGTGGAGGGGGAGTCAGTGTTCTTTAAGGATATGATCCCCAGTATGTCCACCATGTTCCAGTGGAAAGCCACACGCTCAAGAGTCTATGTATGGGCAGCATTAACTGGACCTAATGGTGGAGGGGGGAGTGAGAGGGGAGCGAGAGCGCCTGTGTGAGAGAGGGAGGGAGGGAGAAAGAGAGAGTGCGGAGGGGAGGAGGTTGGCTCTGGGGGAAGGGGTTGAATATGATCAAAATACGTTGTATGAAATCCTCAAAGAACTAATTAAAAAAGAAAAGAAGACAGTGGAGAGGAGCTGAGGAAGATACCAATATTGACGTCCACGTGCGTGTACACATTTGTGAACATCTATACTTGCACAAAAACCGAGGAAAAGGAAAGTGTGTGCGTGTGCACGTGCGAGCGCGAGCACGCATGAGAGAAGTGAGTGAATGGGGGGTGAGAATAGAGCATCCAAGAGACTTTTCAAACAAAAAAAAAAGAGGAAGAGGAAGAGGAAGAGGAAGAAGAAGAAGAAGAAGAAGAGGAAGAGGAAGAAGAAGAAGAAGGAGGAGGAGGAGGAGGAGAAGGAGGAGGAGGACCAACAAAGGTCAGATTCATCGGGATGAGCTACCATAGCCAGATAGCAGAAAAGAAGTCACAGGCATTCAAAAGGGAAGGACACACAACACAGAGAGCAAATATCAACACCCTAACAACAGTTTTAGTGGACTGTGAGTCAGAAGACAATGGTGTGTCCTCTTCAAGTTACTGAGAGGAAAAATTTGACCAAGTCTGCTTTTAATACACAGGAAAAATATTTTTCAGAAGTGGAGATAAACTTCACAATTAACTACATGGGAGACGGATGGTGGGGAGCAGGTTCTCTCTCTCATGGAGTGAGGGCTTTGATAAGTAAGGCGAGGGGCTAGAACCATCCAGGTGGTAATGATTTGAGTAGACAGGCAGATTCGGTGTGGGAATATCCACCATGTGACCACACAGAGGTCAGTAGAGAAAATCCACCCACATGTCTACACAAAGGTCAGTAGAGAAAATCCACCTACGTGTCTACACAAAGGTCAGTAGAGAATACCCACCATGTGTCCACACAAGGTCAGTAGAGAATACCCACCATGTGTCCACACAAGGTCAGTAGAGAATACCCACCATGTGTCTACACATAGATCAATAGAGAATACCCACCACGTGTCTACACATAGGTCAGTAGAGAATACCCACCACGTGTCTACACATAGGTCAGTAGAGAATACCCACCATGTGTCTACACATAGGTCAGTAGAGAATACCCACCACGTGTCCACACAAGGTCAGTAGAGAATACCCACCACGTGTCTACACATAGGTCAGTAGACACATGTGTTTTTCTTCACTCTGTCAGCCAGGAGCACCTAACAGAAATGAGAGCTGCAGCACAGTAGCTTGGTTTCTAGGCAACTGCTCTACTCCTGAGCTCTCTCTTCCAGGGAAACTCGGAGAAATGGTCTATTCTTGGAGAGAATTCTTGGAGGGAGAATGAACGAACCAACAACAAACCACCTAAACACTCAAAGGGGGAAGCACAGATCAACTGAAAGAGCAATCTGGAACAATTCTTGCCAAAGGAATTCTTCTATTCCTAACATTTTGGGTTTGAAAATTGTTTTAATTTGACTCTACTCTATTTTGAGAAATAAATAAATCAATGTGGGCTAAAATAAATATCCACAAATTGGTACTGACATAAATGATTGGTCTGTTTTGTATATGAGGATGGCCTGCACCCATCATTGAGAGGGAAGAGACACAGCTACACGTAAGATTCTGGAACATTTAGGAGGCCATCAGCTTAAAGGAAGAGGGAAAGTCTCTCTGTACTACTCCATGGTGGACTAGGCACAGTGACTTTCCTCAGAGACTGCAGAAAAGGCAGGGATCACATGATCTCAGTCAGGTGACCAGAGTCATGTCATACCATTACAAGATGAAATCCCATTTTTGTGATCCTCTTCCCATATACCCACAAATCTGGTCTCCATTATAATGAAGAAAACCTCAGATTCCAACAGTGAGTGTCCTGCAGTATACTTGACCATGATCCCTCAAGACCTCCATAGTCATCCAAGTCAGGGACCATCTGAGAAACTGGCTACAAGGGGAGCCTCCAAAGATGTAATGACCAAAGTCCAACAAGACAAAATGGCAACCTACAGAATGGGAAACGATCTTCACCAACTTCATACATCAGAAAGAGAGATGATCTCCAAAATATACAAAGAACTCAAGAAACTGGTCATCAAAAGAACAAATAATCCAATAAAAAATGGGGTACAGACCTAAACAGAGAACTCTCAACAGATGAGTCTAAAATGGCTGAAAGATACTTAAGGAAATGCTCAACATTCTTAGCCGTCAGAGAAATGCAAATCAAAAACAATTCTGATATTCCGTTTTACATCTGTAAGAATGGCAATAACAAAAACACTGATGTCAACTTATGCTGGAGAGGTTGAGGGATAAAGGGAACACTCCTGCATTGCTGGTGGGAGTGCAAGCTGGTACAGCACCTTTGGATGTCAGTGTGGCAATTTCTCAGAAAATTAGGAAACAACCTACCTCAAGACCCAGCAATACCACTTTTGGGTATATACTCAAAGTATGCCCAATCATACCACAAGGACATGTCCTCAACTATTTTATAGCAGTATTATTTGTCATAGCCAGAACCCAGAAAGAACCTAAATGCCCCTTGACCTAAGAATGGATAAGGAAAATGTGGTACATTTATACAATGGAGTATTACACAGCAGAAAAAAAACAATGACATCTTGAAATTTGAGGGCAAATGGATGGATCTAGAAAAACATCATATTGAGTAAGGTAACCCAGACCCAGAAAGACAAATATAACATGTACTCACTCATATGTGGCTTTTAGACATAAAGCAAAGAAAAACCAGCCTACAGTTCACAATCCCAGAGAACGTAGACAACAAAGAGGACCCTAAGAGAGACATACATGGATCTAATCTACATGGAAGTAGAAAAAGACAAGATCTCCTGAGTAAATTGGGAGCATGGGGATCATGGGAGAGGGTAGAAGGGGAGGGAAGAGAAAGGGAAGGGAGCAAAGAAAAATATATAGCTCAATAAAAACAATAAAAAAGATGTAATGACCAAAGTGATGAATCCTGGAACAGGACATCGGGCCTGTGAGAATTATAGGTAATAATGCCATTTCCAATGGGCTCTTATCACAGCCAGGGCTTCACGTTAATAGAAGACATTAACAACAGGGGAACAGCAGAACCCATGGGAACTCTTGGTATTATCTTCTTAAACTTTTCTGTAATTTAAAAGTTGTTCTAAAAGTAAAATATGTTCAGAAAGTAGCATGGTGGACGCCAGGGGTTGGGTGGGGGGTGATGTGCAAGGAGACAGAGTTTCAGCTGGAAAGATGATGACATTCTGGAGATAGGCTTTGTGACAAACGCACAGTTTAAAGATGGGCAAAGGGCTGGAAGAAGCGGTACACGCTTCCAATCCTAGCACATGGGAGGCAGAGGCAGGCAGATCTCTGTCTCAGAACAAAACACAACAGCAGCAGCAGCAATAGCAACAACTGGCTAAGACTAAGAGTGGACTTCCACAAAGACAACATACAAGTGGCCGATAGGTGTATGTACAAGGGTCCGATGTCACCCACTCACCATTGGGAAACACAAACCAGACCCGTGAGACACCACTCCCCTCATAAGAAAGAGCAGTAATAAAGAAGAGGGGAAAGACTCGAGTGCTGGTGAGGGTGTGGAGAGCAGAGACCCCTGTGTGTGTGTGGCGGGGGTGCCAGTGAATTCAGCCTTATGGCAATTAGTATGGAGTTTCCTCCAACCACTGAAATTGATGTATGATACAGCAATCCTATTAGATACATCTTAAGAAATCAGAACCTGTATGTCACAAGCAAATAGACCAGCAAGCAAAAGAAGGGGTGAGGTGGTCTCACCTGAAGCAGCTTGCCTGTGCCTCCCACCACAGCATCCACCTCACCCCGAGTCAGGTGTAGCTGCCCCATCCCTCTTATGGGTGCCGTGCATGGAACCTCACCTCTCCCTGGGCAGGGGAGGAGACACATTCACGTCAACTTAGAGGCAGGACTTCCTGAAGGAGGATGTGGAGAACGCCACCAGCTTCTACAGCAGCGGGGTCCTGCCCCCAAAGCACCTCTATCTTTCCACTGCACCGAGGGCACCTCACAGCATGCACAAGATGCCCAGGAGACAAGGAGCAAGGTATGACATCCTCACCGTGGGAGATAAGAGGACCAGATGGCTGTGACAGTTGTGATCCTTCTGGAAGCAGCTCCGGAAACTGACCTGTGTTTTTGAGCCTGTTGCCTTCAGCTCTCACCTCACCTTCCCAGCCTAGCCAGCTCTAGCTTCTGATCCCAGATCTAGTCCTACCAGCCACACTGAGCAACAAAACACAGCTGATGCACCTTGGATCTCCCAGTCCCAGCCTCGGCCCTGGCTTCCTTGTCTTCTCATCAACATGCACACGCTTGCAGCTCCCCCCCCTCCAAGCATGTTCTCTTGTCAGAAGTGATGCTACCTCCTCTAACCCTAGCTCCAGGGCACTCCATCCTCTGAACCCTCAGCTCATCATCTCTCACTAACCATTAGCCATGGTTATTTGAATCCATGGTCCCTGCTCTGAGGAACTCAAGGCCTGACTTACAGTCTATGTCCTCAGATTCCATTTTCTAATTAGTGTGGGTTCTCTGTGTATTTGCTGGAGCAGAACTGCCAAGCAATGCACCCATACCACTATCATCCCCTTCTATGCCAGTGAAAGACATGACTAATGGATTGCTGAATCTTCCCATCGGCCTCTGGCTCATTTTCAACACACAGCTCTAGTGGTAACAGCCTGGGGAATATGGGGATACAGATGATCATAGAAACTGCTCAGGTAGAGCTGGGGGTATGTGGAAGAGAGCCTGACACCCTCAGCAGAAACCCGTGTCCCACAAACAGGACACATACCATCGCAACCAGATGTGCATGCAGAGCTCAGGCACCCGGCAGACCAGTGATTCTGACTTTGGGGATACGAGGGGTTCCTAGGAGTGGAACATGTCACTTACTGAGACAGTGGACAGTGGCACTGTTTATCAAGTCTGCATAACCCTTCACAGCTTAAATGGAACAAGAAGCCCAAAGAGGAGCACATAGGTCATGCAGCAAATGTCAGGCCAGAACCCAAGGCTCTTTGGAGAATCCCGAGAGACAGACAGTAGGGCAGCACAAGGCAGATGAGCAGAATGAAGCAGGACCTGGGGTCTCTACCCCAGAGAAGAAGCCATGGCTGGACTCACCCCTTGCTCCATGCTCTCATTGGCACGGTCTGTCACTTTGGAGATGAGAGTCAGAGCACCTGGGGAGCAAAGGACAGACAGACAGAAGCTTTAGGATTGCTAGTCCAGCTTCCACAGCCCTTACCTCTCCTTTGGCTGTGCGCCTACTCTGTCTCCCCTGTGGTGGGCCAGGAAGGTAGAACGGCACCAGTTTTTCCCACTTCAGCATCAGGGCATGAGCCTACCCACAGCCCTTCCGTGACTTCCTCGGTCTCCCCGGCTGCTGACTATATTACAGTGGGTCCACCCTTGTAGGGGCTGAGGTACAAGCCCAGGAGGGAGCATGGTGTGGTTAAGGGAGCAGTGGACATCTTAGAGCATCCTTCTTAGATCACCCAACTCTGTGACTTTCTCTTCCTCTGCTGGACAGATCCCTTAGGCTTTCATAGCTAGGGGTGGTAGAGGTCATTTCAAGAGACTTGAGGAGTCTTGGCAGAGAATGTACCTAGCTGGGCCTGCTCCATGTCTACACTCACACTGGTGTAGACCTGAGGATTAATGGATAGGAGACAAGACAAGGAGGTATGGCTTCCTCCAGGGTCTCTCCAGACTTACTCTGAGTGTTGTCATACTCGGCTGAGTCCGGGCACAGGTTGTTTAAATAATCTGGAGAGAGAGAGGGACAACAGTCAGTTTGGGCAGTAAAGTGGCCTTCTGTCCTCCACAGTGACCTCCCTTCTCTAGAGATGGACGAGCTGCACAAGAATAGAGTGCCCACCTGCTCACCACATCAGCCCACCCAAGACCAGGACCCTCTTAGCATCCTGACCGCCACCAGCAGTCACTCACTCGTTCAACCCTTATCTAGTCATGATCTGGGATGGCTTATACCTCTGGGATACAGGCACAAGAAAGTATTCGCTGTCCATTGCAAGGTTACAAGACACGACAAGCTACACAGTACTATGTTACAGTGCATCCACCCTAGTAGGGCCTGAGGCACCAGCCTAGGAGGGAGCAGGGTGTGGCTAAGCAAGCAAAGGACATCTTAAAGCATCCTTCTTAGGCCTCCTAACTCTCTTCCTCTGCTGGACAGAGCCCCCAGGCTCCCACAGCTAAAGATGGCAGAGGTCACCTCAAAGGACTTGAGAGTCTGGTAGATACCCCAGAGGTATCATACGCAGAATGCACCCAGCTGGGCCTGCTCTGGGTCTATATTACAGGGTAGGGGGATATCACCCCTTGAGATGGCCCTAATCCCGCTACCTGCCTTCTGCTTTGCTCCTTGAAGTCTAGCCATATAGGCAGTCTTGCTACCCCTTGAACATGTTCCTGCCCTAGGGCCCCTCTACTTGTACTCTCTTCTAGAGCTTCCTATGGCTCATGTCTTTTCTTTGCAGACACCTTTGTTTTGTGTCACCTTCTCGGAGAGGTCTTCTCTGCCATATCTAACACATCAGCCCCATTCCCTAATCCTGTAACCTACTTGCTTTTTTAGGAGCATTCTCAACACGGATATTATGTATTCATATATTTTAATATATACTTGCATATTTAGATATAAAATCATTGTCACTAGGGGTGGACCCAGGGCCTGGCATATGCTAAGCCCATGGCTTGTCACAGTGTTCTATCTCTCCATTGTAACTGTCATTTGCTGCCTGTTTCATTTGCTGCCTGTTTCATTTGCGTCCAGCACGGGTCTGGTACTTAGGCAGTGCTCAGTGGCTCTTGCTGAATTGAATGAATAGATAATTTAGACTGCAACCCCAGCACAACTTCCTTGTGACCCCTCAAAGTGCATGTGCCCTACCCTGCAAGGGAGTAATAAAGACACTCGTGGGAGCCTCAGAAACAGGATAGGGCCTGCGTCTATGTGGAAAGCTGTGGCCAGTGAGCGTGGAGCTCGACCCAGAGGCAGGGGTGTCTGCAAGGTAGAAAGGGAAGGAAAGCGGGAGGGCCTTTGAATAAGTTTGTGAGATAGTTTGAATAAGAATAAGAATGCCCCCTTCTCCCCATAGGCTTGTATGTTTGAGTGCTCAGTCACCAGGGAGTAGTACTATCTGAGAAGGATTAGAAAAATTAGGAGGTGTGAGCTTACTGGAATAAGTGTGGCCTTGTGGGAGGAAATGTGTCATTGGACGCGGGCTTTAAGGGTTCAAAAGTGTACACAAGACCAAGTATTGTCTGTCTGTCTGTCGTCTGCCTGCTTCCCTGCCTCCCTGAAGATCAGTATCTCGTTCTCAGCGACTCCATCACCACACCTGCCATGCTTGTCCCATGCTCCCTGCCATAATGACAATGAGCTGACCCTCTGAACTATAAGCCAGCCCCCAATTAAATGCTTTCTCTTATAAGAAGTGCTTGGTCACGGTGTCCCTTTGCAGCAACAGAACAGTGGCGAAGCACTCTGGTAAGCCAAAGAGGAGAGGCAGCCGGAGTGGCAGAGGGCAGAAGATGGGAGGAAGGCTGGCCAGCACATCACAGAGCTGAGAGGGCCAGGCCTCAAGAGGGAGCACACAGCAAAGCCACAGAATGGCAGTGGGCCTGCAGTGGGAAATGTCCATTATTCTCACCATGACGGGGCCTAGGAAGGCAGCTTAAACGCACAGTGAGAGTCCCACCAGGTTTCTGGGTTTGGGGATAGGAAGGGGCTAGTGGCGGCAGTGCATGTGACTCTGTGTGACCCTGGGGATCTGGAGCTGTGCCGTCATTCCTACACCTGCTAAGCTACATGAAGGTCTTATTCCCAGGGCACTCCACCTCAGCGCCCCCCGCCCCAGACTCTAATGGCTCACCAGTGAGCAACACTTGGTACTGGAAGAGGCGCTGGACTACGCGTAGCATCCGATGCTTCATGCTCTGGCCGCCCCCTTGCGAACTCTGCTGCTTTGAAGAGGGGAGGAGAGATGCCATCAGAGACCCACAGACACACTTCATCCTGCTCTGACCAACTGCAGTCTCCCACATTGTCAGACCCAGACTGTCTTCTGCAGGAAGCCCTCTTGGATCATCCTGGCAGGTTCACAGTCACACTCTGTAACTCAGTTCTCTGAGGCCCTATTCTGCCCCAACATTAGTAACAGAGATAAGCCCCCCTTTGACCACCCAGGAGCTAGCCTTCCTGTTTGTGACCAGTACTGGCCACTTCCGTGGTTGCCCTGTGGCTGGGCCCCAGCTTGGTTCATAGAAATGGGAGAACTAGCGCTAAGATTTTTCCTGTGACCTCCCTGCCCATTGCCCAACAGGAGTCATTCAGTCCTGGGTTCCCCTCCTTTGAGTCCCCACCCGATCTCCCGATCTGCTGCCCAGATTGGTCCTTCTATATGTCTCATTCACCTCTCTTAAGTCTTTCCATGTCCCCCTGTCTGGGCCCCACAATATCCTTACAGCAGGGTCTCTAAAGACCTGGGAACCCACCTCAAATTCCCGGACGGTGCTGGCCAGCCGGGGTGAGAGCAGGCAACTCTCAGCGAGCAGCCCCAGGTACCTGTCAAACTGCAGGATGTGTGCAGCATGGTGTTCAAATTCCTGCTCGCGGACCAGGAAGATGTCGGCCACCTGTGGCTGTTGGCCCTCCCCATTGCTAGGGAGAGGATAGTGAAAAGTTAGCCTGTGGACCAATAAAGGGTGGGGTTCTGGGGGCTGCTTTGCTTGGGGGTACACAACTTACCACCTCTCCAGGAGACAGCAGTTTGTATTTGTGGAGATTTTTGTCTGCCCCCACCCCAGGTGGCATAAGCGGGGTATGGGACCCCAGGCTGCTCACCAATCCCCCAGCCTCTGCTCCAGGTTCTCCAGGATGCCCTGGTGAAGGTCACAGATAGCCGGGAGCTCCCGCAGGCCCTGCCGCAGCTCCTCTTGGGCCAGTGGCTCTCTGCCCTCTTGTTCTATGTTCTCCAAGGCCCTCAGGACGGCTCCATGGAAATCCTGCAACCCCAGATGCCTGTTACGTACTGCATCAGGCAGCGAGGGCCCTTGAGGCTCCAGAGCCCTGACCTGAACAGAGGTGACTGCAAGAACTGAGGCCTGTCACTGCCACTGGCGCCACACTGTCACCTGTGGATCAGGAAGGCCATCTCATACCCACTTGCTACAGGGCTGTCTTCGCCCTTGCTTACACAGAGCAGTGTCGCCATGGTGACCTGGCCAGGACCCTTTGTTTACAAGACCGGGAATCAGCTGGTGAATCCTTTGCTAAGGAAAAGCAAAATCTTTGCTTTTTAGTTCTCCACCTTGGAAGAAGCTCAAATTGTCCTCTGACCTCCACGTGTGTACACTGATATGAGTGTATATCAATACACACATGCTCACACATACACATGCTCACACACACACACACATATGAAAGTATCATTTTAAAAATAAAAGACACAGTGGATGAGAAGTTCAAGGTTATTCTGGGCTACACAGAGTCTGAGGCCAGGCTAGACTACATGGGACCCCCGCCCCATCTACACACACTAAAAGGAAAAGTCACAGCAGGTGTCTGTGACCCCAAAGTTCAAGAAACCAAAGTAGAAACTCACAAAGGCCAAAGAGGAGTTTATGTAAGGCCACGTGTGCACAGTCCTACAAACTTCTCCTCTTGTCTAGTCCAAGGTAAGAAGGAGCCTGACACCCACCGTTGCCATTTCCTTCCCTTAGCTCATACACAGACATCAGCTCACAGCCTCAGAAGAAAGGGGGCAGAGGGAAACATAACTTTTTTCATTATTTTTACATGAGCTGTTGCTACTGCTTGCTATGTATGATTTGAGGACCAGGCATTGTCACCTGTTCTAGTTTACTTTCTATTACTGTGACAAAGCCATGACCCAAACCAACCTGGGAAGGAAAGGGTTTCTTTCAACTTACAGCTCACTGTCCATCATCCAGGTAAGTCAGGGCAGGAACCAGGAGGCAGGAGCTGATGCAGAGGCCATGGAGGAATGCTGCTTACTAACTTGCTCCTCATGGCTTGCTCAGACTGCTTCCTAATTCAGCCCCAACCACCTGCCCAGGGGCGGCACATCCCATAGTGGGCTGGCACAGCAGGCTGGGTCCTCTCCCATCAACCATTAATCAAGACAATGCCACAAAGACTGGCCTATAGGCTAATCTGAAGGAGACAATTCCTCAATTGACATTGACAACTGATGCCAACTATGACATTATAGGGGCACAAGTACAGGAATAAGCCACATGTATAGGATTGGTGTCCTGTAGGGTTTCAGGCATCCACTGGGGACTTGGAAGGTGTCCCTACATACTGGAAGACCCCACAGTTATGACACTTCAGATGATCTGTGTTTAGGGCATGGGCTCACACATGGTTTGTTGTCTGCTCTCTCTGGAGTCCAGAGGCACCTTCAGTGTGAGAGGAACTTCATTCCCTTTGGGGAACCACACAACTGCTAGTTAGCAGGAGTGGAGCCTTTGTCTGAGGAAGTCAAGATTGGGATCCTGTCACTGTGAGGCTCACACCCAAAAGCACCACATAACCCGGACAAAGAGAGGGAGCACAAGGAGAGAATGGCTGGAGAGCAAAGAGGGAAGGAGAGAAAGGAAAACAGCAAGGGCAGACAGACAGTGGCAGGCATAGCATCCTCTGGGGAGCTTCAGTGTTAACAGCTCCATAAATCCTTTCCTGCATGGTAATTAATCCTCACTGGCTTAGTCCCAGTAGGCGCGGTAGCCACCTGCAGGACAAGATGGCCATCTACAGGACAGAACAGCCATCAGCAAGACAATCACAATCCACTCACATCTGTTCTTAATGGAACCATGGAGTGCCCACTGCAGTGGGCATCCCCTGTGGAAAGGATTCTGCTGCCTCTAGCACTGGGCAAAACCATAGGGTCTCAGTATCCATCCCCAGGGAGAAAACCTCATCTTAAGCATTCCAGCAAACATTCCGTTATACATTCTGAGTGCTTGATCTGCAGCAAGCCCCAAGGACAGAGGGTAATGGAGACATGTAGTTCTGCCCACCAAGAGATTGTGATAAAAAAAAAAAAAGACAAGGAGACATGTGACATGGACCAGAATGGGGACCTAGGACAAGTCAGAAGTGAGGGATCTGGCTTGGTGAAGGCTGGCGGGGAGGCCATGTCTCCACGGAGACAAGGGCAGTGCTGACAGGAGAGCAGCATGTGCTGCCCTAGGCAGCAGAGCATCTGAGAGATTGGAGATGGTCTTAGTCGTGAGAGTTATGAGTATGAGCTCGTGCATAGTGAGTCGTCTGTGTGTGCATGTGTGGTCATGAGTATGCACGTCAGTGCTCCCTTGCAAAAAAAAGTACAGAGTGCTGGAATGGGATGCAGCTTTAGGGGTAGACCAGGGCCACTCCACTCCTTTACTATATGTATTGTGGAGTCCCCACTCCAGCTTGCAGGACTCCCTAAGTCAAGGCCTAGAAACGCTTACACCCCTATCTACCCACAGAGGCACTTCTGTATGACCTCAGATGACCCTCTGCTTCTCTGGACTCCAAAGTGGAGACACAAACACCTTCTGCTGCTGTGCTTTAGGGTTCTGTTTCCTGTCTTCCACCAGCACCTCCAGCACCCAACTAAGGAAGGTTCTTAGAGATAATAACAGGGACATTTACTGAGCATACATACTAAGAGCTGTGTGCCTCACACTTCATACCTCCCTTCCGTGTGTGTGTGTGTGTGTGTGTGTGTGTGTGTGTGTGTGTGCGCGCACTGAGAACTGAACCCAGGTCCTCATGCATGTAAGGAAAGCCTTCTACCATTCAGTCCCAGGCCCAGTTTCTTCATTAATGTTCATGGCAGCCCCAACTGGTTGTAATTTCCATTTTCTCCATAGCAGACCAGGCCTTGGGAGATGGAGGAATTTGCTCAAGGTCCTCATTCTTGAGTCCATGTTTGCCTGATTCCAAAGTGCCGGTTCTTTCCATCACTGGGGATGGGCTTTGCGTTTTCAAAAGGCAGAACCAGTCCCTGCTGGCTGAGGGTCAGGATGTGAGCTCTCAGCTCCTTCTCAAGACCCACGCCTGTCTGCCGGCCACCACATGCCCTGCCATGATGCTATGCACTTGCCCTCTAAAACGATAAACATGACCTCAATGAAATGTTTTCTCTCATAAGTTGTCTTGGTCATGGTGTTTCCTCACAGCAGGAGAACAGTAACTAAGACACGAGTCAATCATGGATGTCCCTGTTAGGTCAACTGGACTCTAGAACCCCATGCAGCTGACCTCACACTGTCCTCAGCCATTTCCCACTTATGCCAACAGGGTCTAGGCTGGCTGTACGCTGTGCTGGGAACACAGGTTCATTCGGCCTAACCAATCGCCAGAGGATGCTGGGCATCCTGAGGATAATCTTCTGTGGAGCAGACCATGCTTCTACGCTGGCCACCGAAAGGACTAACAGTGCAGAAAACCATGAGGAAATATGCTCTGTAGTGAGGTGTGTGAGCATAAGGGGAATGGCTATAACTTACAAAGAGCACATAGCAGTGAGGGAACCTTCCAGATGAGGCTCTAAAACCACATGCAGCAAAAATAATACAAAACAAAACAACAACAACAACAACAGAACAGATAAAGTGTGATAACATCAAAATTAAAACAAAACAAAACTTTTGTGTGCCAAAGAACAGTATCAAGAGAGTAAACATGAGGACTGAGTTGTAGTTTAGTGATAGAGCATTTGCCTTGCATGCATAAGATACTGAGTTCCACCTAATAAGGACAGACGGATGGATGGATGGATGGATGGATGGATGGATGGATGGATGGATGAACAGAACCTGAAAAGGGAGTAAAGAAGACCCAAAGAGTGAGAGAAAATGTTTGTAAATTGTATGTTTGTTAATAGACTTATTTACAGGGTTACAAGAAAAAGGACTAACTACCCAGCAGAACACAAAGCTAAGGGCTTGAAAAGACAGGTCTCAGGAAACGAGACTCAGGATATGAGCCAAGAGTATGTAAGTCACATGAAGGCTGTCAAGGAGAGCAGGGAGAGGAGACTCTTCAGGGTAACGCTGTCTGCAAGCGCACAAGCTTTCGAGAGTCACCCATGCTCAGGCGGGAATTTTTAGTGACGCAGCTGACCTTGAGTCAGCCATGTTCCTGTAAGTAATTCCAACAAACTCATTGGTTCATCAAGCAGGACTTGAGGGCTTGGATGGTGAAATCAGTTCTTTGGTCTGTTGTTGCCCTCTTTATCCAGGGTGAATGGAAAGAGACTCTAGGGAAAATCATGTAGCCTCCTCAAATGGTTAGCACTAGGTGTGAGGCCAAGGGAACTGCAGACACACATGCTTCCTGCAGCTTAGCATTGCACACAACCAGCAAGAGCCCAATGTCCATCCTCTGGGAAAGGCGCAAACAGACTGTGACATCCAAATGGACTCAGTCACAAGGGAATGAAGGACCAGTGCAGGCACAGATGGGCGAACCTTGACAGCAGATGCTAGAGGGAGGAAGACGACCACAAAGACCATCACTTAAGATGCCATTTAAATGAAATGCCCAGAGAGGCACATTTGTAGGAACTACAAACTAGATGGGCAGAAACATTCATACACATACCCTGGTGACCTCTGTCATTGGCACGGACAGGAATCTTCTCGGATGATGGAAGTAGTGTCTGCCTTTCTTGCACACAGACATGAGCTCTTTTTGCTAAGATTAGTTCACTAACTAACCACAGGCAAGTTACAAGAATATTTTTAAAAGCAAACAATTCTGAGTCTCCTGGGGGCTAGGGGTCAAGTTGGAATACCCCACTTTTCTGCCTCTCCTCCAAACCCTCCAAGCATCACCTACTTCCTTAGAGATCAGGGTCATGGAGGAAGAGCAACATGAACACACAGGAGGCAATAACACCTGCCCAGACCCAGGCCTTCTCCATGGGTCTCCTTGTGAACCCTGCTGCAATCCTTGCTAACCAGAGGGAGAGCAATCATGGATT